TGAATTATGTGATAGTTTACATGGGAGAACGTTAGTTTTACATTCATTCGATTGTATATTGATTCATTGCCATGGTTACAATCTACTCCATGCATCATCAACCAACCACAGGGTATACCTTGCAAGCCTGCCCCCCTGGTCGCCAGCACACAGCCCCTCTCCCTCTCTGGGTCTAAAGTCCCCAGCTGCTCAATCTCTCCACATCATCGTCTCTGCCTCCATCTCTGGCATTACTGCTTCTCTGGGTAGGGTCCTGCTCTCCACTCTTCTCCCTTGATGGCCCCACGAACCTCCACTTCTAGACTGCAAAGTTAATCACTCCCCTCCTTGCTACAAAATGTCTACCTTTACATTTCCAACCCTCACAATCAGTCCTGATAGCAATTATTCACTATTGTATCACAAGAGACCCATCCACATTTCCTTTCATCAGCCCAACCTAGACAGATTGGATACTACTCAGTGGAGATTCTACCTTCCTCCCTGCCCTCTGGATCTAGATTCCCTCTTGAAAGCTTGTAAGCCAGTTACTTCTTGCTTTTGAAGCCTCCCTTCCCAGCCATTTTGGGTAGCCAATTCACTTTAGCTTTTTTTCAAAAAACTAAAGAAAAAAACGCTCAGACATATATAATAATTTACACCTCCAAAGGGCACATTCTGCAAACATTGTTTTTGAGGTTTCCAAGGTTATGCAGTATTACAAACACATCAAAGATAGCACTATATATACAAGAAATCAACTCAAGTTTTCTGGTATATTCTCAACACAAGGAAAAGGCTTCTCTTGTTGCCACCGGAGTGTATCTCTCAGCTCTGATGAGAACAGGGTAGCTTGGTGCTAGAGAGTTGGAGACAGCATGTCTAACTCCCCTTGTGCATGAGAAAATGTGAAATCAGTTATTCCAGTTGCTTTCCTAGTCTTTCCTAGTGTGATAAGAGGGTATACTATGCAAGAAACCAAACCAGTAACTGTTGAGTCAATTCTAACTCAGAGCAACCCTTTGTGTTTTAGAGTAGAACTGTGCTCCAAAGGGTTTTTATAACTGTGTACATCTGAAAGCCGATCATCAGGACTTTCTTCGAAGTTGTCTCTGGGTGGATGGAACCTCCAACCAACCAACCTTTGTGTTACTCAGGCACTCCATACAACACAAACACTTTTTAAAATATACATTCCTATTTACTGGCTTCAACTCCGATTCAGAATGAAAAGGAAATGTACTGTGTATTTCTGTGGACTCTGTGAATTAACATTACATATTCTATTTAGGAAGAAATTCCTAAAGGAAGAAATAGAATGATTCTCTTCTGCTTTTTAAATTCCTTTCAGAATTACGACTTCCTGTCAGCCCCTCTGTGTGTGTGGATCAGCATACAGAAGTAAAACCGAGCACTTCACATCACCTTTTACAAACAGTGAAGCCACCTATGTGGAAATCATGGGTTTGGAGACACGAACAACTGTAAGCTTATTATTTTGACGTGTTATATCCAGTATGCATCTTAGGAGACAGCTAACAAAAGAAAAGCTCAGGACAGATTTAGGGAGTTTTATACATTTGAATTATTAGGTTCTGTTACAGAAATGTTCAGCAATCCCCCGTAATAAAGAATGCCATTACCGATTTTCTCATAGACTAATTCAAACCTCTCCTTCCATAGAATAAACGTATAGGTGAATAGGACTCCGCTTTAGTAAGTTATATTCGTGGAAACGGAATTTAAAATCTTGACCCTGTGAATCTATAAAAATATAACTTCTATTTTATGTCCAAATGGCATTGCATTTGTCTGAGTATGGCTGAGTATTTTTTTTCTAGCTATTAAATTATTTTTTATAAACTTCAGTATCTAAAAAAGCCACTCATCTGTAGGGTACAAACATTTCCAAGTTACTCCAGGGTAAGAATTTTAGATTATCCATTAAGCTAAAGTGAAAAATGAAAACAGTTTGATTCTCTCATCTAAGACACAAATGAATTTATCTTGCCTCATTTTATAATTATTTAGTAGTATTTCAGTAGCTAGTAGTAGTAGGTATTGGAACATCATTGGCGCTTTAATCTTATCTGGACTTCGAACATAAAGATAGCATTATCTCTTTCTACCTGGAATTTAGGTATTTAAAGTATGGAAGCATTCTGCAAAAAAGCAAATTGTTAAAACTTTTTGGTATCATTTGTGATGTAAGTAGATTTGTCTCACCACAAAATATTAAATTAGTGTTATTTTTCCTTTTTACACTGAAGTGTTCCTTTAATATTGCATCCCTTACATTGACTCTCAATTATCTGGGATGGCAGGTGGAATTACACTACAGGCAATTTCAGACTTCCAACAGGGTTCCAGTCCAATGACTTAACTTGTAAGTTGGTTCTGATAACTCAAATATCCTTTTTTGTCTGTTTGTTTTAGTTTTCGCTATTATATCCTTTTATTATCAGTATCTTTATAAATCGATTTTGAACATCTGCAGGTCAACATCTGAGAAGGATAACATCAGCAAATTATGCTCAACAACACTTATCTACAGTACAGCCTCCTGATGATAAAACGTACAAAATTTTTAAAATCATGTGGCATAATTGTGATTCATTTTAACTTGAATACATTGTAAGTTAAGACCAAGCTATAGTGGGGGAAGTATTTTGGTATATTCTTGGTGTGACCTGTACACTTTAAGAAATTGGCTATATTTTCATGGTGAGATATAACTAGAGCAAGTGCAAGCAAAAGCAGAAGAGGAAATTTCAGAAGGTGTTTCACTGCTCCCCAGACTTCAATTGATTATCACTTTTGTTGTGATGGTGCTATAAATGTGTGGTCATGACCAGTGGAAATTAAAAAAATAAAATATTTAACCACTGTTTAAATACTATTTTCCTTTAAAAAAATAACTTGTTTGATGAAATCTACCAAAGTGGACAATGCTTACCAAATTGATTCCTTCTCTCAGTACCAGTCCACGACCAGGTGTTGATACAGTGAATTTGGTCAAGGAAACCCACACATTGAAGACTGGGGGCCAGTAAAGGCGAGAAAGGATCTCCAAAGCTTTCAGGCAATTCACAAGTTACATATCATTGTTATTAGTTGCCATCAAGTCAATTTCAACTCATGGCAACCCCATGTGTATCAGAGTAGAACTGTGCTCCATAGGGTTCTCAAAACTGACCTTTCAGAAGTAGAAAACCAGGCACTTTCCGGTGGGTTCAAGGTGTCAGCCTTTTATTTAATAGTCAAATGTTAACCACTGACACCCCCTAAGGATTACACACAGATTGCACATTCTGTCACAAATGTGGACCCATCATTTGTCTTCCTTCATAGGAACCAAACAACAGTTCTTGCTGCCCATGAGACCATCTTTAGAGCTGAAGATCTAACTGTGATTCTTAAGGCATATGTGTTGGTGACGTCCTTGTCCCCTTTGCGTGCATTCATTCATTCAACTGGCACCGTCTGGAGTCCACCAAAGAAAAAGCGCTTCACTGTCAAGGTAAAGACCCAGTCAACACTGGTATTTCACAAAATGTACTGGAGCTGAGTAAAGTGAGTTGGGCTGCCTTTCTCTGACCTTTATGGTTAGCAATTCCCATTGAACAAAGATTGCATCTTTTTATGGCTGCAATCGGAGATTTTCATTTAAGAGGCCCAGGTTCCAAAATGAACCAGAAAGCATGTAATTCACATGGGATCACAGAGGCTACATCTTTTTTTTTTTTCTCGACTCATCATTTTAGTTCAATCCTTTGACTCATTACAGAGCTGCTTCTCAGCTGTACTCTGTTTTTCTTGACTTTCCATTTATTCCAGAAATATATAGTCAATGCAACAAATGAAAATTTAATTTTGAACTTATGCCTTTTGCTCCCTCCTTAGAAAAGATAATGCCTCTTTCATTACACCAGTCAATATGGAACATTTGCTGAGTGAAAAATAAAGCTATCGAGTGTGCTTAATATAGTAAGCTATGACATAAAGGAGGATAAGAAAGTTTTCCAGGAAGATCTGATTAATATCCCCAAAACGTTTAGTTATAAAAGGTAACTCAGGTTAACTCAGTTGAAAATAGCGTCTAATGACATGTCTGATAAACTTAAAGGAATGTTTTAATTTGGAGATATACTTTTTAGCTTTGTTGTTTTGTTGGGACTTGCTGTTGAGTCAGTACTGGCTCACAGCAACCTGTATAGGGTTTGCATAGAATGGTAGGTTGGGTTTGAACTACCAACCTTATGGTTAGCAGGGGTCTCATAATTTCAAGGAATTTAAAAGCGACTGAGCTACATTTTTTTTTTTTTTTCCTTTCAGCATTTAACATATGTAAGCTACATTTTAAGTTCTTTAAAATCTTCCACAGTGGAAAAATTAAAATGGCCCATTTAAATATTATTAATTATAAACCAAATCAGCACAGTAGGAGCTGCAGGTATTACAGAGTGCCGCACTGGAGTTCACCTCTGATCCAGCTGTTTTTGTTCCCATATATTGAACCAATTCTCCCAACATCACTGGCTTTCAAAATTCCAATCATTTCCCACAAATCACTTGTCACTTTTATTGCATAAATTCCTATATATACACAGGGCTGCCTCTGAGTCCTCTGTTCTGTTTCAGTTGGCTCATTTGTTTTTATTGTTGTGACAGTGTAGGTACATGTTAAAACCTGATAGTAGAACTTCCCTATCTTTATATTTTATTTTCAAGGTTAAATTAATGATGTTGCAGACATTTATTTTTGAGAGCAAGAAGAGGAGGCTTTCTACTCCCATAAATATTTACAGCTTTGGAAACCTACAGTGTTACTGTGAGTTAGGGCCAACTCGATAGCATCCAATAACAACAGACATTTATTTCCTCATAAATATATTTTCTAAATCCAGCTGGAAATTCAAAATGTAATTATACTGAGTTCATATTTTAATATTTGAAGAATTACTTACTAATATTTGCTGATTATTTTTTGTCCCGTGTTAGAGTTGATTATCTTTTCCTCCAGAGGTGTTAACATATTCTTACTTAATGCTAATGAAGTCCTGGTGTGGCACTGTAGGATAAGTATTTGATTGTAAGGTCAGTTTGAACTGCAAGGTTGCTGGTTCCAGCTCACCAGCCCCTCCTTGGAAACCCCATACAGATTCGCTATGAGTCGGAACCGACTCAACAGCAGTTAACAAAAACAATGCTAATTTTTAGATGTTAGTATTTCTTGATATCGTAAAGTATAAATATATGTTGTTGGCGTTAGGTGCCATCGTGTCCATACCGAGTCATAACAACCTTTGACACAACAGAACGAAACATTGCCCTGTCTTGCACCAATCGCACAATCTTTGGTACATTTCAGCTTATTGCTGGTACCACTATGCTGATTCATATTGTTGGTCTTTCTCTTTCTCACTCACTCTCCACTTTACCAAGCATGACATCTTTCTCCAGGGATTGAAGTATGAGAAACCAAGTTTGGCCATCCTGTCTTCTAAGGAGCATTCTGTCTCTACTTCATCCAGTCCAGATTGGTTTGTTCTTCTAGTATTTACTATATTCTTCTCCAACACCATAAGTCAAATGGATCAATTCTTCTACAGCGTTCCTTATTCATTTTCTCACTCTGACATGCATATGAGGTTATTGAAAATACCATGGCTTGGATAAGGCATTTTAGTCCTCAAACTGACATCTTTCTTTTTGATACTTGAAAAGAGTTCTTGTGCAGCAGATTCACGCAATGCAATGTGTCATGTAATTTCTTGACTGCTGCATTCACGAGTGTTGATATATATATATAATTTAAACATGCATATATACATTTAAATATGTAGCATAGTAGTTTTTTCTAGAACAGAGAGACTTTTTTTTAAAAGTTTACACAGTATTTGGCAACATTGTTCCATAATTGGACCACTGATACCTTTGTTTTTTCTAAATGATTATTTCATCTTCAAATAAAGCTATGTTTAATGCCTTAACTTATAGTCCTCATACATCTTTCTCTTTTTTTCGCCTTTATTAATGTGGGTCCAAACCTCCAATGCTATATAAATATAAGCTATGATAGTAAATATTCTTGTATTATGCTTAATCTTAAAGTGAACACATCTCAATTTCTCCATTAAGTATACTGTTTGAAAAGGTTTTTGGTATTTGTTATTAGGCACTGTCAAGTTGGTTCTGATTCATATGCATGACAGAATGAAACACTGCCTAGTCCTGCCCCACACACAAAAAAATTTTTTACATTTGAGTCCATTGCTGCTGCCATGTATCAATTCACCTAGCTGGGGTCTTACTTTTTTTCAATGACTCTCCACTTTATCAAAGGAGCTCTGGTAGTGTTGTGGTTATGAATTGGGCTGCTAACCTCAAGGTCAACAGTTCGAAACTACCAGCTGTTCCACGGGACAAACATGAGGCTTTCTACTACCGTAAAGATTTACAGCCTCAGAAACCCTGTACAGGGTTGCTATGAGTTGGAACTGACTCCACAGCACATAACGACCACCACCACCACCACCACCAGCACCACTGTACTTAGCATGATGTTCTTCTCCAGGAACTTGTTGTTAGGTGCCATCAAGTTGGTACTGACTCATAGCAACCCTAGGCACAACAGAACGAAATACTGCCTGCTCCTGGACCAACCTCACAATTGTCGCCACACTTGAGTCCATCTGACCCTCCACCTTACCAAACATGATATCCTTCTCCAGTGACTGGTCCCTCCTGACAATATGTCCAAAGTTTGAGTGATGAAGTTTGGCCATCCACGCCTCCAAGAAGCATTCTGGCTGCACTTCCTCTAACACAGATCTGTTTGCTCTTTTGACAGCCCATGGCACTTTCAATATTCTCCTCCAACACCATAACTCAAAAGCATCTATCTTTCTACGGTCTTCCTTATTCACTGTCCAGTTTTCGCATGCATATGAGGTTATTGATAATACCATGGCTTGGGTCAGGCACACCTTAGTCCTCAAGCTCTGACATCTTTGTTCTTCAACACTTTAAAAAGGCCTTGTGCAGCAGATTTGCCTAATGCAATATGTTGTTTGATTTCTTGACTGCTGCTTCCATGAATGTTGATAGTTGATCCAAGAAGAATGAAGTCCTTGACAACTTCAATCTTTTCTCTGTTGATAAGAATGTTGTTTATTGGTCCAGTGGTGAGGATTTTTGTATACTTTACATTGAGATGCAATCCATACTGAAGCCTGTGCTCTTTGATTTTCATCTGCAAATATTTTAAGTCCTCTTCACTCTCAGCAAACAAGGTCATATCATCTGCGTATCGTAGATTGTTAATTAAACTTCCTCCAATCCTGATGCCACATTTTTCTTCATATAACCAGCTTCTCAGATTATTTGCTCAGCATACAGGTAGAATAAGTATGGTGAAAGAATACACACACCTTTCATAATTTTAAACCATTCACTGTTCCCATATTCTGTTCGAACAACTGCCTCTCTTGGTCCATGTACCGATTCCTCATGAGCACAATTAAGTGTTCTGGAATACTCATACTTCGCAATGTTGTCCACAGTTTGTCATGATCCACACAATCAAAAGCCTTTGCATAGTCAATAAAGCACAGGTAAACATCTTTCTGATAGTCTCTGCTTTCAGCCAAGATCCATCATACATTAGCAATGATAACCCGCATTCCATGTCCTCTTCTGAATCCAGCTTGAACCTCTGGAAGTTCTCTGTCAATGTATGCTTGCATCCATTTCTGTATTACCTTTAGTAAAACTTTACTCACATGAGATATCAAAGATATTGTCCAATGATTTCCGTATTCCGTTGGGTCACCTCTCTTTAAAATGGGCACAGATATGGATCTCTTCCAGTTAGTCGGACAGATAGTTGTCTTCCAAATTTCTTGGCAGAGATGAGTAGGTGCCTCCTTTGCCACCTTACTTTATTGAAAGATTTCAATTTTCATTCCTTCAGTTCCTGGTGCCTTGTTCTTTGCCAATTCCTTCAACACACCTTGGACTTCTTCTTTCAGTATCATTGGCTCTTCTTGATCATATGCTACCTCTTGAAACAGTTGAACATTAACCATTTCCTTTGGTACAGGATTCAGTGCATTCTTTCCATCTTCTTTTGATGCTTTCTGCATCATTCAATAATTTGCCCA